CTGGTGGACGGATTTCGCAGAAGTAGAACATTTTTTCCGAATTGTTCCCTGTTCTGATGTAATTTTGTGAGATGCTATTCACTTTTGGAGAATTAAAATGCACAAGCTTGCCTATCTGAGATTTTTTTTACACAAGATGCGTCTATTCTATTGTACGTACACTGTTTGAATTATACAAATTATGTGGAATTTCTGATTCCTCAACATTTCTGATTACTGTCACGAACCCAACCCACAGTTTTTGCAATCACAGATTTGAAGAAACTGACATCATTTTTCATTTTAATAAACAACAAATCACTCATGATGCACATCAAAAGGAAGCCGAATTATTTTGAAGTATTTGCTCTAATATTCCGACGGCAAAGTTTTCGCTCATATAGACATTATCATCCGGTTTAAGTCAGGCCTTTGATTATTTAGCAGTGGGGATTTTTTATTTTCATGTCAGCACATACTTGGACTTGGAAAGAAACGGAACCTCGGTATAAACTGTCTCATCCGATGGACCATTGTCGCCTCGCTTTACAGGGAATTTGAGACCATGAGATACTGATCGGCTCCTTAGTCATCATGCGGAAGACAAAAGGAATATGTATATCGCATATGTTTAAAATAAAGATTCAATCCATTATGAATACGAATTCACTTCAATTAACATCACTACTAACACTTTCTTTGTATATTCCCCTCTACTTTTTCAGAGTTTTGTAAGTTATGAAGAAGACGGAGCTTTATAAACAGACGAGGCCCGTAATTTTTTTACAAAGAGGTGTCTAAATAAGGGAGCTGATTATTTTTTAAAGTCCAAGGTCAAACAGAACTGACATGTAGATGATGTGACGGGTTTCCTATATTTCGTTAAGATATAAAACGGCAGTCATCTGGACGCAGAGTAGAATAATTTTCTACGAAAGGTCAAGACATGTAAGTCTGTTTTCTCACCGATGACTTTTAACCTGTTGTATAACACCGAAATAAAATTTACCGGTTTCATTTTCAATATACATCTTATTCAATTCAATCTTAGGAGTTTGACAATATATTGCATACACCTTTTAATTTACAAAAAAACATGTATACGTGGATTGTCCGTAAATTCCGTAGGCAACCTTAAAAATACAGTTTTGTAAATTAAAAAAAATTATAAGATTTGAGATTACATAGATTCAGATGTAATTAAACAACATCGTTTATTCAATAGTTGAAAATAGTTGAAAATATAGATATTGTAGAATTAGGTTAAAAAGACTGGCTATATATTTATAAAAGTATGTCATTTTTTATGGATTTCCGGAATTCTGAATACTCTAAATTACTGTATCCTGCAATTTTAAGTAGACTGGTTGTCTTGGATTGTTTTGAGAGGCTCAATTGTTTTGCAGTTAAGGGGATATTTTTGATTGTTTATATACCTTCCTAAATTTTTCACTCATACTAAGATGTTACCACTTGCCGATTAACATTGGGCACGGAAACTCAATTATACCGTCTCATTAGATACACTGATATCCACATCAGATAGGGAAAATGAAACTGTGGCATAATGCGCCATAAGAGCAACACTTAATATGTAAGATATAAGGTTATAGCAAATGAACTCAATAGGGGCAGTTTTCATCAGCTTCCCTATGTACCTTTATTCATCACGTTCATTCAATCATCACTTTTCAGATGTAGATAAGTAGCTTCAGAGGCAGCAGTAAATTAACCAAGAGGAGCCCGGTTGACAATGTTTAATTTGCACACGGAAACACATTTTTAAATTACAGTTGTATACTAGTATCATACTGCATGTCGGTTTTTGAGACGAAGCTGAAAATGTCAAAAAGGTTTTGACAACGACGCCAACGACAACAATAACCACGAAGACGACAGACAGCGAACAAATTTTGATAAGAAAACCTCACTTCAGCCTTTGATTTTTACACAAATTTCTTGATGATAAAGAATAAACACTCTCCTTATCAAATTATGAAATGAATGAACTTTTAAACGATATACATGTGTGTGCATTGCGTGAACCATTTCAACACAAAGTTGAATACATTTTTCAAGGCGTATTTTGTTTAAAGAATGTACACATATATACATGTACCTCTCTGTAAAATTATGATGCACTAATATATATTCACGCCGAACAAATAATTCCTTAATAAAATCTGCATTCAATTTGAATAAAGTTAGAAAAGAAATATTCCGATATTTTCTTCTTTGTGCTCATTAGTTCAACATTCCTTTATGATTTGATTGTTTACTAAAAAGTCGATCAATTCGGGATCTTTGTTTAAATTTTAAAATTGCAAACGTGAATACACATTATTACTTCCCTGTCACACATAATTAATTATCCGAATTTGCGTAAATTATATATATAATCAATATAATTCTTTAAAATTATAATCCTACTAGGAAAATCTTTTGATCTACATGATCTTTATCCAGTTCATCCATTTCAAGCATTGCAACTAATTTAGATATCTCTGAGAATGAGAAGAAACTAAACACTCTTTGCACGATAATATAGCAGTATGATATATCCTTGCAGGCATTGCTAAAGCAAATATAGGAAGCATTAAGGGGGATGTACAAGCCATATTGGATCTAGTCTGGTGTAAACTTCAAATTACCAAGAATGCGCTTAATACTCTACTAAACTAGCTCAAAGTTACTCAAAGTGCTAATGCACTAATTACCTACTGTTAGAGACCAAAATTAGTAAACAATTAAGTTTATTTTGTCTTAATTAGAAGAAAATTAATCATGTTAGAACTGCGCAGCTACAGCATTCATGAGATGAAAAATGCATTGAAAATGGAGTTAGTTTGATTCATTGATAATATGGCTACAACCATTTGTTTCGTTTTTTTCTTGTCATTATCCATAATTCTTGAAAATTTGATTTTTTATATGGGTGTCTTCCTGAGGCCATGTGTTTATTTCGTCCGCCATTCCTCTGTCACACAGAGTTCGAATAACAATGATTTTAGAATAAATGCGACCATAATAACACCAAGACAAGAAATTACTAAGTAATAATCATTAGGTTATATTACTTACTACTTTATTTATTCCTATCGCATCGTCTGATTAATGAAAAAACGCGATTTTAACCTCACTCCAGCAAATCGGGAAAAACTGTTCTGTTTACAACTCGAAATTCCTCGTTAATATTATTCCACTAAGCACATGGTTGGCATGTGCATATATCTGCTGTGGATAAATCCGTTTATTACCATGATTATATTTAATTTTTATGGAACAAGTCTTGATAATTTGTTGGTTTCTTTAAAACTCAAGAAAAAAAGATAAAAATGTCCTAAACATATGTGTTTACGGTGGGTCTTTTTTCTGTGGCGATAGAAGTTATTTTCAAATGGGGCACTGCAAGTAGGATGCTTAGCATTTAATTTGAAAATGTTAAACAATATGCAGTGCATGAAAAATAAATTGGTAATTACATGTCTTACATTCGAAAAGTTGGTACATATGTCTATTTTGTTTATAAGTTAGATAGAAAAAATAGGCAGTTATAGGATTTTCGCTTAGGCACCTCACATAAATAGCTGGATTACCAATAACTACCCACACATTGTATGGGGTCATGTTTGGACACAAAAACGCATCGTGTCAGTTATGTTGACGATTGTTGTAAGCTCTCGCTCATTGAACATACGAAGCTTGATAAAATATAATGAGTTGTTTCTATGAAATTTAGAAGCGAGCACAATGTTTGCAATGAAAGTTCCATTGCATGTGCTATGTCTATCATCGCAAAAAAGTGAGTGCTAACCCAACCCCCCAACCCCCACCCACCCCCCCCCCCTCCCCCGAAAATCCTTTGTTTGTTTCAAAATAGTGTCAAAGATTAAAAAAATTGCATTACTAAGTATGTGATGGAACATGTACTAGCCTTATAATACCACTTGTTATAAAAATATTTGGTTGCCCTCTCTCCCGATCTACTGCCTAGAAATGGCCCGACTCATTTTTTAACATTCCATTACACGATATTTTTTTCTTTTTCTTCCGTAAACAATTCTGTTTAAATTTTAAGGATTTTTTTCTCACCTATAAATACGGACCCAATAATTTTTCCCTGAGTTGGGAGGACCACCAAACATCATTTTAAAGATGTTCATAGGTTGATTTTTTCTCTTTACTTTGTACAATTGTAATTTTGAAAATATGGGCAAATAGAAAACAAAAATTATATTTCAAACTAAATAAATTACTTCAAGCCACACTATAACACCTTTCCTCTTTTTAAAAGTGTTCATATTATTTGAAATATTTTGCAACTGTAATTCTCTTCTACATTTAAAGATTGTTTTGCCCCTCCATATTAAGAAGAGGTCTGGAAAACAAGATTCTGTGCTAAAAATAGACCACGTGCTGCTATCCATGAACTTCTTTCATGGTTCTTTACACTCTTTTGAAGACAATGGTACCTTGTTTTGAACTTGAAATTATCATTAAAAAGCGCAAAATTTAGACATTTTCTCAACAAATGGTTGTAGAGAGAACATTAATGCACAGTTTGCATATTTTTTTGGATTTTTTTAAGGCTCTGCTCAATTCTGTAGCTGCGCAGTTCTAAGGAGCATATCAAAAGCATTTTTCTGCAAAAGTATAGATTATATATGCACAACATGCATTCGGTTATGCATATTTATTGTATCTTTATCAAAAAGACTTAAAATTTGATCAAAATATAATGTATTTTAGCCATTTGAAGAAATGTTTACATTTTGCTCTCACTGCACTAAAAGTGGCCGTACATCCCCCTTAATCTTATTAGGCACTTTACACAACTAACCTGATTTTTCTAAAATTTCCTTCTTAACATAGTAGTATAGTTTATGTCTATATCCACTGAGAGCAATATGTCAATTACCGAAAATCCCGCAGGTTGTATATCCTTTGGGGGATCACGTGACTGTGAATTTTTGTTTGTTACGTCACAGAACTAAATCGACTTTAAAAATAGGTCACAAGCTCAGCGAAACAACAAGCCATCATATAACATGTTACATGTTAAAGAAAGGATAAACATAATTTCTGGAACCTATATCAACGAAAACAACAACTTTGGATGTCCTAAGTGATACTTCAAATTTGTAACATATGTTTCAGGAGTGCTTACACAGGATATTTTGTCGCGTTTAAATTTGTTCTATCTAATTTTTTTTGGAGTAATCTATCTATTCAGCTTGTGTGATTTGGATCTTTATATTGGACAAGGGATAGCAATTTTAAAAGCAGGTACTATACTTCTATCAGTTACAAATGGGAGATCAAGACAAATTCATGTTCTGCCGATTTATTGTGGAGTTCATTATTTGGATAAGGTACATGTAGGCTAAGATTTTAAAAAATTGTTTGTCGATGATAATACGTCAGGCAACACTTATCTTTATAAACTGACATATCACATGTGTAATGAGTCAGGTTTCCAATACTCCTTTATTTCCTATTATTCTTTAATGGAGCATGGAAGAGTAACGGACTCTTATCGGTGCTTTTTGAATAGAGCTGATTTATCTGTTTTGTCAATAATTTACCTGGTAGTAATTGAAGGGTTTTAAACATTTGCATCTGTAGCATACATATCATTTCCATAAATTACAGGAACAACTTCGTGATATTTTTTTTGTTTCATTGCTTAAGTGTTTTATTCACCAATACACAAGAAAACTATTGTGATTTATTTTCCCTTCAAAATCAACAAGTTAAATTCCTTAATTTCATGTTGATAGGAATACCGAATATGCAAAAAGCAGATGGATCTCGTCAAGAATTAGTTCAGAACAAAAGTGATATTGCCTTAGCACTTGAAGGCACAACATTACAATACAATTCCAATTACTGCACCTTACAGTAATTCACTACATAAAACAATTTATTTATCTGTTAAATCTCGTAAGTGAAAGTCATGATTCTGTATCCTAGGCCTGCCTTTTTTTCATTTTCTGTTCCATGAAATATACAAGCTTAAAAATTAATCATTATCTAGTATAATAAAGCACCCCTGATTGACAAAATCGGATTATGTTCTTGTAGTCTAAAGGTAAAAGCTTTTTCTACTGAGTTACCACCCTTTCCATGAAAATGAAATCAAACAGAAATTACATTTGCGCATTGTACTAAAATCAGAACAGTTTTAACCATGCAGATGGTCAACCTAGACATAATATGGCGATATTAAGAGAGAAAACCGGGGTGGATTTATAAAATCATTAATTCTATAAAATAAGTATGAAAAAACTACTGAAAATGCTGGCGATATTTATCCTTTGGGATTTACGCCTGTAAACGTTTATGATATTTTGGGTTTTACGTCACGTAAGAAAATCAACTTCAAAATTAGGTCACACGGTTCTAAGGAAACAGCAAACCATTAAATAAAGTGCAAAGTGAGGATAACACAATTTAGAAAACTGTAAGTTCTCGAACTTAAAACAATGAAAATGCAAATTCTGATTTCTCATCTGATACCTTTAAACATAATTTTATTACAAACGATAATATTAATACACTTTTAAATGAGTTCAATGTAATTAGGTCGCAGAGTGATTTTTCTTTCACCTTGTGTGATTTAGCTCTTTATAACAAAGCAATACAAAGACATGTACAATATTATCAATTCTATAAGCAGCTACTACAACCTTATCATTTACAACTGGGAGATCCAGACAGTTTGGATATTAAATGTTCTGAAGATTATTAAGACAAGGTAAAGCTAAGATTTTTTTTTAGAAGTTTGTATGTCATTTAATTTTTTCTATAAAAAGACTTCAAGGACCCTCATCTTTGTAATCTGACATGTACGTTATGTGTCAGCTTTCCAATATTTCATAGATAAGATAATTATAAATTTGTAAAATAAAGTCATCTTGAGGTAGAGTTCAATATGTTTATTAGGAAAAAGGCAACGGTTTTGCTGATGTCATGGTTTGGAACTGTTCATTTGATATTCATTTGGTATTATCACTTCACTATTTTCAGAACTCTGACCGGACGTACCTGTGCTTATTAAATAGATCTTTCTTATCTGTTTTGTCAATCATGAAGTAATTGAAGATCTCTATCATTCATAAACTGATCAGTGTTCATTACCTTATTTACAGAAACAGTTGTGTTTACTACAGTAAACTAGATTCACTTTAAAGATCAACAAGCCTAATTTCTTAATTTCACGTTGAAAGGAATACTGGATTTGCAAATAGCTGATGGATCTTTTCAAGCATAAGTACAGAACATGTACAGAACATGACGTACAACACAACAATTAGTTTCCAATAACTGCACCTTACAATAATCCGCTAAACATACAATTGAATTATCTGTTGAGCCTTAGCTAAAGTACTTCTCCTCTACCCTGTTATTTACATTAAATACATGTATTCCATACTGATTGGAGTAACTGCCCTTAACATGAATAATAGAATCAAACAGACATTGCATTTGCTCTTTGTTCTACACAGAACAGCTATTTTCATGCAGATGACCAGCCTTAGTAATATGGCTATCTTGAAGAAGGAGTATATTTATAAAATCATTAAATCTAAGTAAAGAATATAATCTTTACCAGAGAAAAAAGAAAATAGCTTTAAACTTCCTTTTTTAACGCATTTAAAATCTGCTATGTTTATTGGGGAAAATATTTTAAATAGTTGGAAAAAAACAAAATCTCAAAAGATCTATTTTTTGAGTAAAGATTAAATGGCAGAAATGATACACAATAAATTTTCTAGAGGTTAATTTCCACTCAATTTGGATAATTAAATTGATTTGCTTTAAAATCTGCATTTGGTATTCAGAATAATTTTAGATGTTGAGCCACAAATTACAAAGGATTGATACTTGGAATGAAATTGCACAGAATTGATACTGGAATGCCAAAAGGATCATGCATGAAAAGAAGTTAAATGGGAAGAATCATTACATACATTTTTAATCATTGACAATTTGTATATTTACAGAGAAGCCGATATTACAAGGGCTTCCTAGGTCTGACAGAGACTATAGTGTGTAAGGTGTGCTGTGACAAGGATGTGGCCGCCGCCTTCCTGCCCTGTGGTCACCTGGTCTGCTGTCTGGACTCGTGCCCCCGCATGAGGAGGTGCCCCTCTGTACAGAACTCATCAAGGGCACAGTCAAAACCTACTTTGCATAAATGGGTCTACAGGTAGGTTTTCTGCAGATACATTAAAAACTGTTTTTACTACAGAACTTTAAAGCTGTTTTAGAAGGTAAAGTGTTGTAAGGTACCAAGTATGTTATTTGAAAGAAGTAACAGACAATGAGTGATCAATATATATGTTTTAGCTCTATTTCTCAAAGACCAAATGTATAAAGCTCATAAATTTGTCTTAAATCGGTACCTTCAGATTAAAAGAAGAGGACATTTAACACGATGATGACAAGGCTCTCAAGGAACTTCGGATAATTTGCATAAATAAATTTTTATTTACACACTTGACTGTCTCTTCGTTAAACTTGCTTCTTTGTTTAGGAAAGATGTGAATAAGATAACAAGGAAGTTGATATTATTGTTTTTATTTATTTCAGATCTATAGAAAACACAAGGGTGAAAATTCATTTTAGGAATGTGGATATATTACTTTTTGGGGAAATTATGATTTTCATCAGAGGTCACAGGAAGGGCAGAAAGTGAGTCAGTTTTATAATTTTCGTATTTGTACGCATTTTATAGAATATTTTGTTTACGACATCATAAAGCACAAGATTGACAATCTACTGAATTTGTATATTTCATAAAATAGTATCAGATGCATCTTGTGTATAAAAATCTCAGATAGGCAAGCTTGTGCTCTTTGTTTCTCAGAGTGAAAAGCATCTCAAAAGTTTCAAAATAACACCAGAATTGAAAATCATTCGGAAAAATGTCCTATTTGTGAACACTCTTTCGCCCTTCTTGTACGCTTCAAATGGATAAAAGAATTCAATCTCAGTCTCACTTGTCCGCTTTATATTCCTTTGGAAAAAGTGAGACTGAGATTAAAAGTGAGCTCGTCTACGTTTTATGTCCCCGAGGGCAAATATCCATAAATCTTTTTAAAACGACAAATTTTCGTAACTGCAGAACTTAAAACAATTTCCTAAATAAACACGTATTTATATGAGATAACAATAAAAACTTGGGAAACATATACGATATTTAACTGTAATTCATTTCAATCATTCTCGATGAGAAACATTTTCTTGGAAAACATGTACGATATTTACCTGTAATTCATTTCACTCATTCTCAATGAGAAACATTTTCTTGGAAAACATGTACGATATTTACCTGTAATTCATTTCACTCATTCTGATGAGAAACATTTTCTTGGAAAACTGTAATTCATTTCAATCATTCTCGATGAGAAACATTTTCTTGGAAAACATGTACGATATTTACCTGTAATTCATTTCACTCATTCTCAATGAGAAACATTTTCTTGGAAAACATGTACGATATTTACCTGTAATTCATTTCAATCACTCTCGATGAGAAACATTTTCTTGGAAAACATGTACGATATTTACCTGTAATTCATTTCACTCATTCTCAATGAGAAACATTTTCTTGGAAAACATGTACGATATTTACCTGTAATTCATTTCACTCATTCTCAATGAGAAACATGTTGACTCATTTCTTTACATTCAATTCACTCCGTTCAAAGATTTAACATTGTTTCAAAACAAAGTATTATTTGGGCCGCCTACGAAGAGATCATGTATCTTATTTACATTTCAATTCACCCAAGTATTTTTATGTGGCGTTATCAAAAATACACGTGCCAGGAACATGACGTATGGGTTGATATGCAAAAAAAAAAATTGAAAGAAATGATCAGCAAAATAAGTTATACCTAACATAAAATGAGGGTAATTTCAGGAACAGGAT